TTGATTATATAATACTATTTGTGCGTGCGTGCGTTACTAAAGCTAATTTGACAGCTAGATCTCTAGCACTGAAATGGAAATGAAACTTTAGAGGGATGTCTGGGACCGTGAGTCAACTTTTGGCTACTTTTGAGTTTTTGTAGATGTAAAAGTGTCTTGCGTGATCCACACAGAATGGTGTGGGGTGTATGGGGGTGTATGTGTGGTTGTGTGTCAGTCCCACACACTCACTGCTGGCCATGTTTAAGCACACTTCTAATGGCCAGTAATGCCTGCTATCACAGCTCCTCATCTTTGAATCAGAAGAGTGCCCTGTCTGGTGTCATCATTATATTGCTATTATCAGATGATTCATAGGTGACAGACTTACTATAGGCAAAATAGTAACAGGTTAAGATTTAGGAAATAACCTCTAATCATACTGGGACTTTGAGGGACTTTGATTTAAAGGTCCACATAATAATTTAGTTGGTCAGTGTTTAATCCCACTGTAGAAATAGTTTATTAATTGTTTCATATTTAGTGTATTTCGTTTTTTTCCTGAGAAACTGTTTGGTTTAGATCATTTATAGTTTTTTACTTTATGTAGTTATTTCAGTTTTAGTGTTTTTATCTTACATTGACAGCCAACCCACACCATAAAACAGCTTTTATTATTATCTATTTACTGTTTTTTTTTTTCTGGGGTTTTTTTGTATTCATTTGTATTTGTGTACAACTTTTTATCGAGGTAAAAATGACTGATTGCCTCATTAAGTTCATAAAATTAGAGCTTGTTCGTCTAATGAAGCTGTTCCTATCAGAGATTTCACCTTCACAATTAAAGCCCTATCCCTTCAGTATCATAGACCACAGGTGTTTTGTGATATGATAATGAATTAGGGTGAGTGTATTCCTCCAGGATTGTGGTTCGAGGTTAAAGAGGGCAGTATTGGAGAGAGGCAGTGATACAGGGATGTGATGCTGTTTGTTCATAGGTGTTTGCTGCCTGCCGGATTGTGATGCAATCTGATCCTGAGCTGTTGCTAGGCGACGGCTCATGAGGGTTCTGACGTCTGCGGCGCGTTGGCTTGTGATCCTGACACAGCGTGTGTCGCAGGGAGTGGCGCGATCATAACGAAGGCAGGCGGAAGATGGAGAGGGACATTTTCCTCCACTGTCTCTCCGTCCTCCTTCCGCTTAAACGCACTTTCAGTTGAACTGTGAGGATATTGATAGTAGCCTGTCAGTTGTTATAAAGCTTGGTCCTTGATCATGATCAGGCCGTTACGCAAGCATTATGCAACAGTAAAGATGATACAGGATCAAAGACATGATGGTTAAGTAGTCTCAATACTCAGCATCAGTCTCATTTTCATCATCACAGTTTGGTTTTATTTGGTTTGCATCATGTTTACTGTGTCTATACAGTGGAGTCTTTACACTTCACTATTTTTTGTTGTTAAATTGTTAAATTTTCTCTCCTATTATCTCCAGCTTATTATGCAGAGACATTTCCCTGAAAAGTATAAACACTTCTGTGACTATCATTCAAAACATTGCACGTTTTATAATGAGAGAATTTGTTTTATTCTGCTGTAAGATAAAGTGTCGGAAATTAGACCCGTTTTCAGTAGAATTAGACGACATACAACCTGTGAACAGGGTGTGAAGCTTCAGTGTTTTCAGTAAGGTGCTAACACTCGTCTGAAGCTGTCTGGATCAAATTCACTGTCTCTCTGTGTGCTAATGTTCTTGCTTTGTTTTAATCGGAAAGAGGAAAAGTCATTGTTCTTACCCTCCCTGCTTAACAAGACTGTTTTAAAGAGTATCTTCATTTGAGTGTTAAAGTTATTGGCCAATAACCACATAAAACAGACTTAGAAGTTGTCTTATAATGCCTAGTTTTCAGTGCAATACTTTTTAGTATATATTTTTTGTATAGTTAAGTTTGATAAAAATATCCTAAATATTGCCAAGGAAATTCAAAGTATTTCACCAAAATACACAGACCTTTAGTAAGGTAAAATGGTACCTTTGATGTTGAATGGGTTTCTTCTGCTTTTTGAGAAGAAGTCCTGGAGAATAAACCTGGTCATTTTATATTGAGGCAGTGGAGTGTCTGATTTGTGGGCTAAAGAGTACATGAAAGGCAGAGGAAATTAGCATGCTGACATTCTGCTTTCTGCTTATTAAGCTTCAGCTAGGTCAGTCAAAACACTACTTTTTCTTCAAACCAGTTTAGCCTCCTGAGACTCAGAAAAAAAAAGTTTTTTGAATTTAGTTTTTCCCCCATGTCATCACACTGTTTAGAGCACAATAAACAAATGGTAAAAAAAAAAAACCTTTTATAAAATAATATTTTATTCATACGTTATGCTATGTCCTCTGTAGTGGACGCCAGGACTAAGTTGTTTAAAAAATAAAATGACATGAAATTATATGTATAGGCAAAAACCATGGGATTTTTTCTCAATCACCAATAAATGTTGGGGTTTCAGGATTTTTTCAACCAAAATTTGTATAAAGATTATTCTCAACTATGTTATGAAAGAAATAATGGAATGAATTGATACACCATTTTACTTTTTGCAATATGTGGGTAAAATGGCCATAAATTAATATTCCCATTCAATGCAATGTATCTATACATTGTATCTAATTTGCACATTAATGTGTTCTTGGAGCAACATTTAATGAAAAAAGAAGTGTAATAATTGGAGTAATAATTGGCAACATTTTAAAAATAATATCTAATAATTCATAGGAATATTGATGTATAATTTATTTCCATATTCACTTGTTGTGTCTCCCAGAATGCCTGATAAACATGATTTTAGTCCTGATGTCCTCTACAGTGGACACGTTTGAAATCAATGCCCTGTTCTGTAACAGAAAGTAATTTTTTTATTTGAAACCCCTTAACATTTTCCTGAGATGTTGTTTTATGAAATACAATTTGAAAAAGTAGTCCAATTTAAATTATAATTACAATATATTATCATATTTCCATAAGAATGCTACATTTGATCACTAAATTAATGTCAGACATTTTTAAAGACCAAGGAGAAGTTGTTTTCATGGTGAAACCTCCAAACATGTGGTATCTCTGAAAAGTCCTGAATGTGCTCTTTACAGGACACCCAGGTTGTGTCATGTGACATGTATGATGTCAGAGAAATTCACTCAAATATAATGTCCACTACAGTGGACAAAAGTCTATTCTTGGGTCCCAGGAGGTTAGAATAAAAAAAAAATGTCCATAACTGGGTTGCAAAACATATGATATTGGACTACATCAGCCCTTCCTCTGTGCAGCAAACTGCCTTTGACCTTCAGACGTCCAATAATCTGGACAGAGCTCACGTTTTGCAGTTTATTTACTACTGTTTACACATTTGCGGTATTGTTATTAATCCTTGTTCATCTAGGGACAGCTGGACCTACAAATCCTGTTTGCCTGGTTTGCAGGGTTTGTTTTCCATCCCCGGGCGGGATCGTTAATTCAGGATTGGAATTGATTAGAGCCTTCCCTTGATAAGACTTGGCCCGAACCTGACTGAAATCACAAACGCTCTCGTTGCTTGTTTAAAAGCCGCGCAGACTTCCTGCTATCCGCCGGTTACATTTTTGTCTTTAAAGGACATCTCTTGCAGTGTTTGTTTTGGCTCACACACGGGTCTCTCGTATTTCAGATATGGACAGTAGTAGATTTGGTTTATAGAGGCTTTTAGCTGCATTTCTTATCGGTGCGGCACAGAAAATAAATCCTAAGAAGTGGTTGGTAATGTGGGTGTCGTGTGTCTCATGCCGCATGCTGCAAAAACAGATGCTGAATTTGACCCTGACGTTAAGCTGTTGATGTGAACACAAACTGAGGTCTATTATATATGTATCTGCTCTGTATTCACAATACAAATGAATGTGATCTACTTTGACTCTTATGAATGGGATCATTATGATATACTGTGAACATCCATCCCCACAGTTCTCATCAGGGCATCTGGTGTATGAATGTGTGAAGTATTGATTTGAGGTCAGTGGGGTCAGTGCTGTTAAAAGAAGGCTTATCTTTACAGATTTCAGACTTTAGATACCTTGGCACTGTTCGAAATAATACAAACTTTCTGTACTGAATACATGACCCACACTGCATTGACCAAAAGAGCACACTGGGTACGGTTTTCCTCAATACATTTATGCATTTGGTAGACGCTTTTATCGCATTCAAGGTATACATTTTCAGCAGTACATGCGTTCACTGGGACTTGAACCCATGCTTAAATACACATATTTTTCTCATTTTATTAGAATTCCATTAATTAAAACATTTTTACTTTGGGTAAAAAACATACAAAAGGCAGATTTCAGAGATGTGGAACTTGTAGAATTCAGTACACAACAGTTGTGCAACACTGTACTGTTCTACATGTTTACCGTTGCATATTTTGTGCATGTTTTACATACTATTTAAACAAATAGTATGCAGTATTCAGTGTATACTGCACAACAGCCCTAGATTTCTTTTGGAATGTTTGTAAGGCAGTCAATTGCAAGACATTGTCTGAGTTTAACACAGCCTGTTTGCTCTTCAGCCATTATAATAATGTTTGCTGCCATTGGACGAGCTCATGTAATTTGCTCCGTTGTGAAGATTACATTTTCCTTGTCTAATAATAAAGCTGTTAGGATAATAGCCTGGAGAGAGGCTGTATACAGTGCTATGTGCAAATAGTTTTAAAATAAATATTCTTCTTATAGAATTAAGTGTTTCATTTTTGACTGGAATTTCTTTTATATAGTATTTTAATTCTGTAAATCTGTAATATTTATATAATTACTTAAAATATTTATAATATTATTTATAAAAATAAATGTGTATATATATATATATATATATATGATATAGTTGTTTATTTTTTGCATATAATCTGTGAATATGGAATAACCGGCCAGTTGAACCCGGTTATCGTCTGATGCAGATCCTATCACCGGTTTTGATTGTTTTGTCCTTTTCCCAGGAGCTGAGGACGTGGTGATGGCCTTCTCAAGATCAGAGACCGAGGACAGGAGACAGTGACCCCTCGCCATGCCGAGTCACTACAGCTGAACACAACACAACACTGTTGACTGATGGAGAGGGCGGAGCCTGAGATGGGAGAGGGGCGGGGCTCTGCTGCATGCCAGTTGCCCCACTTCCCTTCTCTTCCCCATTTCCCTCTTCTCCCTCACACTAACTGTTACACTATCGGGCCCTGCGGCCGCACTACCTGGTGACTTACAGCAAACCAGTCAGAAAGAGTCCTGGCGGGTAAATATTTGATTTGGGTTTTTAAGTTGTTGTTTTTTTTCTTTTTGCATCATGCTTCCGTAAAACTGGCGTTTTATATTTGTTCCCATGAGAGACTTAATGGACCAAGAGCTTCATTTGTCTGGTCAAACTACGAAAAAATATAAATCGCCTTATGGGTTGTTATTATTACAGCCAATTTTCTTTTTTTTGTGTATGTAGTTTCTTGTTTTACTGTCTACTACAGGATCATGCAGGTAGATTTTCTTTGTTTGTTTACTTTATTATTTTCAGATTTTTTAATTGTTTAGTAGCTGTTCACATCATAATTTTATCCAAATAACATTCATGTTGGTGTGGAGGATACCGAGGCCCATACACAAGCACACACTCGCAGAACGATGTACACGAATTACCTGATGTTTCATGATCTGTTTTTTCGATGTTTGGATTAATGTGAAATTTCATAGATTTTTGTACAGAACGTGAGAAAAAAAGTAGAAAAGTGAACGAGTTGTGCCAACTGTGTTTTTATGTAAAATATTTCTAAAGGTATCTAATGAATGTCTTAGGTCCTTATTTATTTTTTCAATGTCTTAAAATGTAGACAAACACAAACCCTTTTAAACTTCAACTCTGATTTGTAACCGCATATTTTTAAGACGAATGAAACCATAATAACCCCAAATTTACATGTCAAATGGAAATCTCAGCCTTAAGCGTCGTTATAGGATGTGCCGTTCTCGGACACGAGTATGCGGCACTGTATATTTGACTGTGATTCAGTGGTGCTAGTAAAACACGTTTTTAGTTATTCTAAATGAAGACGAAGATGAATATGAGCTTGTTTTAATTCCGAGGACGCTAAACGTCCCACGATAACTTAATCATTGAAAACCAATTTTGTGTTTTGGCCTCTGACCTTTTTGGTAACATTAATTCATGTTCGGTATTTAATGCGTATTCATGTTTTGTTAACTTGCTTAACATAATTATTGTATCCTAGTGTTTTGAAATGACGCATGCCTGCATTGTGATCTACGGTGTATGTGTTCAAGTAGCTCTGTAATGGTCACGAGAGCCTCAATGTACACCTCTTTTTAATCTGTGGATGTAAGTCCTTTTATGGAAATGGCTTTTATAGTTCTCGCTAATATCAGCAATAAGTATTTGAATGTGTTCAGTCATCAAGGCTACTTATCCACGTGACGACGCATTATCTCACCAATGACAGGAACGTGCATCTGGTTGCTTTTAACTGTAAATCCTTGTTTTGTCTATGCATTGTTTCTTAACATCAGAATCATACAATCGTGTCTTACATGCGTTTCAGGTTGGGTTCGTTGCCTTTCAGCTTTGCAACCATATGAATGTCACTCTGGATTCTTGTTTAATTCATTTACTTCATTGCATGTTGTCCCTACTCGCTTGAGCTGTTAAACTATTTAATGTGAATTGCTTTTTAAAATTGTTTTAAAATTCAATTGAATGGTTTTTTGTTGTTTTTTTTTGCCGTATGGCCGTCGACCTCGTCCCTTGACTTAAATGCGTCCAAAATCTATACCAACTGAACCATTAAAGGAGTTGAAAACTGCCTGTTGTATGGAAAGTTTTTGCTTCCAGTGGCATTTATTCTGAAATCAAGTATGAAAGACTGTGTTGTGTGTTTCGACCCTTCTGTCTGTGAGATAAGAACTAAGCTGGAGGGAAATCTCATAATAAGGGCATATTTTGCTCCACTTTATCTTTGGAATCTACTCTGGGATCTGATAAGATACCAGTACAAGAAAAACATAAGCAAGGAAACAACAGATTATGGAGGAGCAAAATTGTTTTAAATGTAAATACACATGCAGATAGTTATGCTATTTGATAAGTGATACGTTTCTTTAAAACAAACTAATAAAACTCAAATTTGATCTGCTCAGATCAATGTATCGATTTGTGATGTATCGAGAGCTATGGTATCCAGGGTAATGGCGGCATGCCACCACGTAGGATGAACCACATCCAACAGGAGTAACTGTCGACTCAAGAGGAAGCTGTCTGAAAGGGATGTCTGGGCACTAACCCGAATTATATTCAAAAAACAAAAACATGTATTGCTCTGATGAGTCCACCTTCTCTGACTTTCCCACATCCGTGAGTTATAGTGTGCGAGAAGCCCCAAAGAGGCTTAACACCCAGACTGTTGCGTGCCCAGAGTGAAGCACAGCGGTGGATCAGTGATGGTTTGGGCTAAAATATCATGGCATTCCCTACTGCGCTTGATGCGTCACTGCCAAGGACTACCAAACCATTCTGGAGGACCATGTGCACCTAATGGTTCAAACATTGTACCTTGAAGGGGGTGGCGTTAATCAGCATGATAATGCACAAATACACACAGCAAGACTTGTGACAGAAAGGTTTGATGAACATGAAAGTGTAGTTGAACATCTCCCAAGGCCTGCACAGTCATCAGATCTAAATCTTTTTTAGCCACTTTGGGGTATTTTGGAGGAGATGGTCAGAAAACGTTTTCCTCCACCAGCATCACATAGTGACCTGGCCAGTTCCAAGAGGAATGGCTCAAAATAGCTCTGGCCACTGTGAAGGATTGTATCTGTCATTCCTAATATAAATTGATGCTGTTTTGGCCACATTTGTGAAACTTGTTTCCAAGTAAAAATAAACATTTGTGATCTGGTATTACAGTGAATTTGTCCTTGAGTGCATATAACTGTATTGTATTTAGAAGCCGTAGGTGAAGGTACAGTATACAGGCTGCTGCTAACCGCAGATTGTAATATGTTTCCCCATTCTGATTACATGAATTCCCCATATAATAACCAACATCTGCTCAGTGCTTCTCCCGCCATCTTCCACAGATGGTCAAATCCTGTGATTTAGAGGAGGCTGGCTATGGGAATGAAGCACCAGCTGCTGTGGAATTTAAATGAGTATGCATCATCCTCAATTCGATCACCATTTTCAGAGCATGACACTGATACACAGCTCCCTCACCTGACTAGATGAATGTGTTCCTATCCCAGATCCATTAGATGCAAAGTGGTTTACCCCTCTGTCCCTTTCCTTCTGCCTGAAACTGTGCGTGCATCTCAGATCTGTGAAATATGAAGCCCTGAAACATAACTTGAATGAATGAATGAGGCATTTATATAGCGCTTTCATATGTACTACTGTACACCCAAAGCGCTTTACAATCATATCAGGGGATCTCTTCTCAACCACCACCAGTGTGCAGCATCCACTTGGATGATGCGACGGCAGCCACAGTACAACGGCGCCAGTGCGCTCACCACACACCAGCTATAGGTGGAGATGAGAGAGAGTGATAGAGCCAATTCGGTGGATGGGGATTATTAGGAGGCCATGATTGGCAAGGGCCAATGGGTGGAATGTGGCCAGGGCACCGGGGTTACACCCCTACTCTTTTCGAGAAGTGCTATGAGATTTCTAATGACCACAGAGAGTCAGGACCTCGATTTTACATCTCATGCGAAGGACGGATGCGAACTTAAATATTTATGTCTGTTTTGAAAGTTTCCTAATGGTTTGAAGGCACACTGTATGCTTGGAATGGTGCCGAGGCTTTTGGCCGACTTGAGAAGCTGTCCTGAAACTGTCTGGGGAGATATAAGTGCAAAATGAAGGCACACAATAGTGTCTATATCCATCTTTGAACCTTTTAAAGAACTTTTAAAGGAGCATTTCTCTTAGAAACTAATAAAAGAAGACCCAAAAGCAGCGTATGATACAAGTATAAAAACTCAAGTTATATTCTATACTTATAAGTATAAAACTAATTACTTTTAAATGTGTTTAAGTATTAATGCTTACCTTTTGTTTTATTCTTTGCGACGGTATACTCCATCCTTATGCATCCCATTCACACAGATAAGAGTTTAAATAGGTTATTAATGTACTCAGTATTTATCTAGGATCATATTACTTCCGTTTCTTGGCTCATTTTGAGTCGGACAAGGCCAATTCAGCGATCGGTTAACTTGAAACTTGCTCCGACCAGATCATTGAATCGTTGAGTTATGCATATAACTACTGTTCCCAGAAGGAGGGAAATGAGGTACAACACATGACTTTTACGAGGTACAACACATTTGACATTTATATGCTGTGCGCTCCTGCCCTCAGCATATACAAATGCAGTCGTATGCGTCATTTACTTTGTTCAGTCCAGCTCTTCACCGAGCCTCCAACTGCGCGGGGCTCAGAGGTGTTGTACCTCGTTTCCCTCCTTCTGGGAACAGTAGTTATATGCATAACTCAACGTTCCCATTCAGTCGGTCAACTCAGTACAACACATGACTATGGGACATATATATTCACTCCCCGCCAAGTAGCTGAACTAATCGTAAGGGACCAGAACCGCCCTTTTTCAAGAGAGCGACGGCCCCTGGTTAAAGAACCCCTGCGGTGAGCACGGCCTGAGTGACCATCGCTGCAGTGACATCTAGCCGGTACACTGGACAAACGTCAAAAACGTTTGAATATATATGTGCGCAGGCGTGTAGTCCTTCTTCATAAATCAACCCTCAACAAACTACTTGTCTGGTCTTAAAAATGTATAATACAGAAATTTTTGTTGCATCTGCGTAGCCACGCAAACCGGAATTATCCCGACAACGTTTTATCTGTACAGAGGTAAATGGAGGGAGGCCTTCACAGCGGAGAGACTAGTTGACACTTCAGGACTGCGTTGTCGTCGTGTCCAGGTGATGGTCCTTCATCAGATCTGGATACGGCTTGGATCCGGCGGAATGCGGTAAACCTTGGGTTAAACAGAGAGACTAATATTAGCCTAGACGCTATCCTTCTTATGATGTACCAAGTACATTAGGATTTATGGAAAGTGTTCCCGGTTCCGGCTGATCTAAACTATGCAGCCTAACATTGAATTATAGAAGTCTATAATGTGTTATGTGTATGCTAGGCCGAAGAGATGTGTTTTTTTAGTCTAGATTTGAACTGACAGACTGTGTCTGCTTCCTGGACAATGTTAGGAAGATTGTTCCAAAGTTTTGATGCTAAATAGGAAAAGGATCTACCGCCAGCAGTCGATTTTGATATTCTAGGTCAGTGGTTCCCAAACCTGTCCTTGAGTACCCCCAACACTGCACGTTTTTTTTGTCAGCTGTAGTTTATTTATTAAACGTGCAGGGCAACCACCCAGTAGAGCATTACAATAATCTAGCCTTGAGGTCATGAACGCATGAACTAATTGTACTGCATTTTTAATTGAGAGCATATGACGTAATTTAGATATATTTTTAAGATGAAAAAATGCAGTTTTACAGATACTAGACACGTGACTTTCAAATAAAAGATTGGTATCAAAGAGCACACCCAGGTTCCTAACTGACGACGAGGACTTGACAGAGCAGCCATCAAGTGTTAGACAGTGTTCTAGGTTATTAAGTGAGGAAGTTTAACCTCTGGGCAGATGATCCTCCCTCGTTTGTGAGCTAGGAATTTGACCGTCCCTTCCTTCCTGCGAGAAAAAATTATCTTTCGCTGGGGGCAGGCCTTTCTTTCCCGACCCCACCTGCTGTTTAGGTTGTGCGTGCGCTCGCCCAGCCTCCCAAGTGCTGGGTCTCGGGGCAGGCCACTCCACCGACAGCTTTGCTGCCGCCCTCCGATACAGTTCAATGAAGGGCTCCTCCATAAACTCACTTACACCCGTCGCCTTGGAGGGTGAAGGGGAAGCCGTGACCCCTCTGGCTGAAAGTTTTCGTCGAAGAATTCCTCGCCCGCTTCAAGTGAGACAGAGTCCTTCTCCCGACACTCCAGTCCCTGATTAAACCACGGAGCTATAAGGGGAACATCGTTTAAATCATCCATAACCTCCCCGGCTTCCATACGGTTGCCCCAAGTCCCTGTGGCTTCCTCAAAAACGGCTAGTGCCGTATCAGGAACAGCAGCTGAGGAGAGAAGCGGCCTGTGCCTGTCCACTGTACCATCGAGTGTCGAGCGACGAAGCTGCCGGCAGTGTATACATGCTCCGGGGTTGGAGAGAGCCAGCTTGGCGTGGACAATCCCCAAACACACTGGACAGTGCTCGTGTGTATCTTTTTCGGACAACAAGTACCCACATGTCATTGGACATGGGCGAGAATTCTTGTTTTTAGCCATTTTTCCCCGAGAAAAGATGTATTAGCTTTTGTTAACAATGCTAAACTTTATGCTTTTAACACTTTTCTCTGTTTGTGCCTTTCGTCAGGAATCACTTCTGACGGGTTTTTCCTACGAAAACTGTGGCGTGATGGCGTTCTAGCAGCACGGTGAAGAGCTGAAGAACAAAGGGAATGACACATACGACTGCATTTATATGCTGTGGGCAGGTAGCCCCACACACGTCGCCATGCGTCATTGGCCGAATAAAGGTGTCTTCAGCAGATGGCGCTAGAGCGCGACATCCCATAGTAATGTGTTGTACCGAGTTGACCGACTGAATGGGAACAAGTGGTTAAGTCAAATTCACAAATGAATCATCAATGATATTTGTGAACCGGTTCCTTGAAAAGAATCGGTTCAAAATAACAATTTGATTACTAATCGGACAACGCAGTCTCG